CTGCCTTGCTTTGCCGGCGGGGGACCCATCGGCTCTGGCACTCTTGGCCGGGAATTCGGCTCGGGATTCGGCTCATCGTCATGCCAGGCATCGTATTCGTCCTGGATGACGGGCATTCTGGCCGTTCTGCCCCAGCGATGCTGCTGGTGGCCAGGAGGAGGATGAGCTGGTTGCACCGGCCCCCTGCCAGGAGGAGGATGATCTGGTTGCACCGGCCCCCTGCCAGGAGGAGGATGATCTGGTTGCACCGCCGCCCTTGGTAGTGGTTCCCACTCCTGCTGCCAAGGGTGATCAGGCAGAGGCCCAGCATTTCGCAGCGGTCTTGCTGGCACCTGCCACGGAGCAGGAGGCCTCGCCTTTTGCTGAGGCGGTTGATGCAAAGGCGGGCGGGCCCCCTGGGAGGAGTCCCTTCAGGATGATGTATTGCTTCGCCTTTGCCTGGCACTCTGCCTTCTACTGGCACTCCTCCTTTCATCCCTTTGGCTTTTGCAGTCGCAGATCTAGGGGGATCCCAGGGAGGTGTCGAATCCCAACACTGAGGTGGCGGAGGATTCGGCGGCGCAAGTGCCTGCGGCTGAATTCTGCTCATTACTGCCCTTGTTGCCTCGACCCTCATTTGCTGGCATTGTTGCATCAAGTCCAGACCCTGCTGGAACTTTGCTTCCAGATTCTTGCACAACTTGTACAGATCGGTCACCATTTCACCAGTTCTCCACTCATTCGGTCCATAGTCAGATTTGAATTTTTCGCCAGCGGCAAGCATCTTCTTCCAGACCTCTGACGCGTACTCGGAGACGGTGGCGCTGTGGTTTGAGGGAATTTGCCACAAGCTCAGAAAGCAGTTGATGTGACCCTTCATCTTTTTTGCGGGAACATCATTAATTGGTAGGCAACCGGAGCAGTCCACCAAGGCAAACGTCAAATTCTCCGCCCCCACTGGCACTCTGCCTTTGTGGTCCGGCACTCTGCCTCCCATGACAGTAATGTTATTCTCATGGAGGTCCCCCAGAAGACACCCTTCCTGCCTAAGGGTATGCATTTGTAGCTTCAAGACAAACTTGAACAGCTTGAAGAGGATCAGCGTGGTCTCTTTCTCTGGGAACTTGATTGGGTCGGAAAACCTCTGGTTGAGGAAGGCTCCCACAGTCGTCCCTTCGCCTTTGGCTTCTGTGACGAGCACCGATTTTCTCATCCGCGGTGCCACTACGCCCGAGGCATGGGTGACCAAGGTTTTCAAGTCGAAAGCGAGCGGGACAGGAAACGATTGCCAGTGGGTTGTGAACGTTCGAGATTTCAGAAAACGCCAGTCACATTGGTTTCCACACTCTTCTTCATCCTTTGCGAGTTTCCTGTGCAGCTTGACACAGAGGTGCACCTGATCTGTCGGATGATCGAAGTCCAGAGCATCTTCAGGAATAGAATCCACCAGTTTCAGGGCATCTGCTGCGACTTCCGAGGCTTTGAGGACTTCGGCACTCTGCCTTTCAGACCGAGGAATCCTGAGCTCGCGCAGAAGCTTCAGAATGTCGATGACCCACGGCTGTGGGATCTTCGCAATCATTGAGTCCCGATTCATTCCATGACCGACGTATTTCCATTCACACTTGCACTGTTTGAATCCTTGCCCGCCTCTCACGCGGAATTGCAGGCGGACCTCACCGAAGGCTGTGACATAGTATTCGAGAGGTTTTTTGTTCGGCAAGGGAAAATTCCCACCCATCTGCAAGGATCCATCCAGCTCTTGTTCGTAAAACTCAGAGGTGATGTTGCCGGCTCGCACATTGGCCCAAAACAATTGACCAAGCGGACTCGCATGCACAGGCGCTGTCATCCTGCGGCACTCTGCCTTGTCCAGCCAGATTGCGGCACTCTGCCTTGTCCAGCCAGATGCAGGCACTCAGCCTTCTCAGTCCAGCTCAAGTCACTCTGCAAAGAATGGCGAGGCGGCACTCTGCCTTATAATGTCGAAATGATATACTACCTCTGACGTCAATGTGTTGTTAGATTATAGTTACTAGTATTTGACACAATTTAAATTATATCAACTATATTTTGATATTATGCTCACATTGACATTACATATCATGCATATGCCATCATTCAAGGACCACGACTCACTTCACTTTGAGCAACTCCATCGACAGAATAATCATGACATGACACTTTTATTGAAGCAGCAGCTACACGGAGTTTAACTTAAGTGAGGGGCCAGACAGACTCAGCATGATCGGGAGCTTAGCACACGAATGAAACCTAATTCAAGGGCTGTGTTGATATTCAAATCTGCCATATGCCATGATTCAAGGACCACTGCAGCAACATTTGAAATTTGAGCAACCATCATAAGCCATAGGCAAAACAATCATGACATGACACTTCAGACGCCCGAGAATGCTAAGTTGAATTTGGCAACGCAGAAGCAGCATGATCGGAAGCTAAGAACAGCACCGATGACCAGCAATCCTGGGGTCTGGAGACGCCAGCTGACGGCCAAACCTTGCATGGTCACTTTCATTCATACTCAGACTCTCTCAGCACAGTCGCAAACCCAACACATCCAACAGAACTCAGAAGTGCTCGGTCTTCAGAAGTCTCAGCACTCACAGTTTTGCTTCTGCAGCAAGCAATGCTCTTCTGGAGGCACTACTCTGCCAGCGACGAGGCCTTCTCCAAAACACTCACAACTTTGATCATGACTTGTTGGTTTGCCTGCACCACAAACAAATAACCTGTTGCTGTGCGAAAGGCAGGCAGAAGTCCACATGAGCAGACATCGGCACTGAAAAACTTGAGAAGAGTCAGTCGACGAAGCCTGACCCACCTGGCACTCTGCCTTCCTGGCACTCTGCCTTCGTCACTGTCCTGGCCTGAAAATTAAATTGATATTGGAATGTGGGCCAACCCACTCACTGAATGGTCCAATGGTGGGCACTCTGCCTTTGGCACTCTGCCTTTTAAGGCAC